TCCTCCTCCTCCTCCTCCTCCTCCTCCTCTCTATTTTAGGATTTACATGACCGTCTTATGTTTCTGGCCTCAGAGTGTCATGCTGGTGATTTTCATAATTATGATTGGTATAAAAGCTAGTTCTCTCATTGTCCAAAGCAAACAACCTGATATTAAATCAGGCTGTTAACCCAAAGCAAGGAACAGAGCGTATATAAAGCTGAAAAGGCAGGAAGAAAAATGCTATGGCTTGCTTCTCTAGCTATCATGGAGAAGTGGGATTTTCCTTCTCAACAGAATTCTGCCCCTAAGCACTGAGCGGAAGGGATTCACAAAATGCAAAACCACAAGGGTTTGCAAGCCCAAACGAAAGTCTGACAAAACTTTGCACCGTTGTTGTCCTCATTTTGCGTGCACGCTGCCCAAAGCTTAAAGTGTGGTTGTTGATTGTGGTTTCCCCCCCTCTCTCTATAATGGAACTCTGAGGCTGAAATGCTGAACAGAGGGGAGATGTGTGTGTGTGTGTGTGTATGTCTGTGCATCCATGCATGCACACACATACACTTGCATCATAGGATGTTCTGACAGTCACATTCAAGGCTTTTGTGCGTATTATTTATATAACATTTGCAAAAAGATGATTGCACAGTGTTTACATGCTGACAACTAGCTGGGCTATGCCACCAAAAGCAACAAGAACAGCCACGCAACCCGCCCACCCTTCCCTCCAAAAACTAAGCAAACCAACAGAAAGTGAAAAGAAGAGAGCAGAAGGAAAAGGCATAAAGAAAGAACAAAAGAACAGTTCCCTTTGATTAGGGACCATTGCATAAACAACCCTGAGCACATTAAGAATTAATCAGATACTAACCAGATACGTTTAACTTTAGATCTTAACAGAATCTATAATAGCTCCAGTAACTGCCTGCTGCAGTTTTAGAAAGCAGTTTTCCAAAGCCCATCGTGCTAATTGCAAAAGTCTTTTGGAAGTAAACCCCTGGGTATTTCATCTTCTGTTTGTCTTGTCTTGCTTAAAAGCTGATAGGGCAGTTTGACAGATATTTCTTTTCTTCTGAAAGCCACTTCCCTTTTGTACATCAATGCGAGTCTGGGCAAGCTTTGGATGGCCAGGGGCTAGAAGTGCTCCGGTGAGTTGGTGATGTCATGCTGCAAAGAGGGCGGAGCTATGGGACATGCAAGGTGGGTGGGGGCAGGTTTTTTATTTTCCTGGGTTTTGAGAAGTTAAGCCTAAATTAGTGGGAGATGTTAGGTGAGGGGGAAGGAGATGAATTTATCACTGAAAAACAAGGCACGTTATTAGAGTGTTTTTTCTGACTCATCAACTTGGCCATATCTAGGTTCCTTTTTGGACTTTTGAGCTTTCCTTCAAATTATGCTCCTAGGACTTCATAGATAGAATGCATCTGACTTAATCTGTAAGATTCCCATGTAGCTTGTCAACCCAGAAAAGTCGTGTTTAGTTACCTTTCCTTGAGATGCTCAGTTCAGAATTACACTTAGGTTAATCATGTTGCCTAAACGCAGCCATGGTGTTGGTTCAATGGCATTGTTTGATGTCCTTTGGTTCACCTCTTGCATTTCTTGCGTGTTACCCAGCATTTTTTTGGAAGTTTGTGGTTAGAATTTTTACACTCATTGGGAGTGAGGAAGGAAGTGAGTGGGGAAACTCATTTATTTGAAGGGAGTCAGGGAGCACGTGATGAGCAATTCAACTATGGTCATCTCAGTGAAGGACCTTCAAAGCCTTGGACTGACTCCACTTACTAAGGGTGTCCACTAGATCTTCCAAGATAAGAAGGAAGAAGGTACCTTCAGTTTGTCTTGAAGAACACCTTCCAGAGCTTAGGAGTCTTTCAACATCTTTTGTAGTCCTTCAGTCCTGATTCCTGATGTTTTTATTCTTTGTCTTTTGGTTATTCTTTGGTTCCTGGTTATTTTTTGACTGTGATCCCAGGCTTGTTGTATATTTCCTGTTCTCCAGGCTCAACTCAGCTTGCTTTCCACAACCCAGCCCAGACACTAGAACCATTCTGAGATATCAAGGATTCTGAATAGTTGTTCAGTGCATCACCAGGTCCTAAAACACACCAGGACTAAAAGCAAAAGACCTTGTTTCATTCTATAGCTTATTTCTAGATGAAACAGTAAGGAAGCTGAGAGACAAATGTATATCAGTGAAGGAGAGTGCGCAGTTCCAGATCTCTTGAGCCCCTCGTCTTTGCATCTGTCTTGTATCATTTATACAGTTATGACATTCCTCTCTAAAGCCACGCTGGGGAGGAGGGGGGGAATTGCACTTGAGCAAAAATCACAGGAAATGCTTGAGTATGAAAGCAGAGCTTTTTGGAGGCAGAGCTTTTCGCAACCCAGGACTTGCCTGTAGGCACAGATGACATTCAAAACAGCAGGCGAGTGACAATGTGTGAGATTAAAACCAACAGTACTCCAAAGCAAATCACTTCCTGCTTTTGTTCCTGTCCAAGCAGAGCAAACGTAAGAAAAGAAGGATTCCCTCACCCTCCTGAACTAAAGTCTAGACGAAGTAGAGAGGAAATAACTGTGTTTTGATCCCTGGTCTGCCACAGGCTGAATAGAAACTCAGGACTGCCAGGTGTGACTGCTTTCAAAGCTATTCTAGGCCAACCCTATTCACGCTGAATCAAAGTTCCTCCGTACAGGCACAAGAGCATGCTGTGATTAGGGGGTAGAATCCTTAGGGACCACATTTTGCAATGACTCCTTGATTTTAAAATAGCACACTGGGGGAAAAGAAGAGTGAAAAACCCTCGAAGATGTAGGCAAAACAGTAAAATACT